GGGTGGCAAGTGTTCTACAATCTGTTGCTTAATGACAATTATGTATAACCAAATGATAAGTATAAACCATATAACTCATATTTCGCAATAAATTTCAAGGAAAAATGTACAAACAAAAATGCTTTAAACTACATAACTTGTGTTAGATGTTATAAGACATTTATGCGACAGACTGTCTTTGATATAAGGGCCGTCTTAATCAACTATTCCGTTTTATACACTACATACTCCACTTACTACAAACTTAAAAGCTAATTTTTTTGTCATTCTAATTTTTCGACATACATATGTATGTATGTATGTATGTACATATCGCTCATTTACTTCAAAAATGTCCAAACTCAACAAAAGCGAAATTTACATATCGCTAGCTTAGAGTAAAAAGTTGCTAAGTCCACTCTTTATGAAGACTCATATATTAATACAAGAAGCTAGCGATATGTATACTCCCATAGTAAAAATGAACCTATATTTTGTTCAAGTGAGCTACTGGTAATCGATACAGCTGTGAAATTTTTATACAACTTCGAAGTAGACGAAGCGGTAATTTCTGCATACTCAACTCATAATTTATATTTTCTGGATTATCACACTATTGTAGTAAATGAGCAATATGTAGAGTTTACTCTAAATTATAACTGAGTCACTTTGTTCTTATTTTAATTTGCTCCATTTTCCAGACAAAGCCGGTATTATTTTAATTTCTTTTTTACAGTGAAAACATAATAGCGGAATTCTCGCAGTCTTGCACAGCCCTTGCACGGTGCACGGATAAACCTACAAGACTGCCAGGCGGTCCCATAGGAAAACCGGTTTTTACCGCGCAATCCGTGCAAGACTCCGATAATACTGCTATTATCAAAAGGATACTTTGCTGGTTATTTTTCATTCTTTACAGCTTATTAGCTCTTATTTATACTTTTATTACCTTCTGCTGTGCATCTGTGTACGTTTAGAATCTAAATACACACACATACACCACTTTGATTTAGTTCGTTTTCCTTATGATATTTCAATTTGCTTAGTTTTAGATTGTGTTGATCATTTAAAATAGATTCTGTTGCGCTGCCGTTAAATGCTAAATTATAACATACATAAGTTTTTCATTTTGATCATCAAATAACGTTCAACAAAAGCAAAAAGTTCATATTAATACGTTCATTAATTTTTTTTCTTTTTATGAAAAAACACTATGTATATGTATACTTAAACTAATTGAATATTTTATTATTTCTACTAATAAATAATAGTTAAATCAAAAACACATACATATTTATCATAATTTACATACATCAGATTGGAAAATCCTTTAGAAAATTAAGTATATATAATGTACAAATTATATTAAATAAGTTCTCCACGGATTTATAGAAATAGCAATTTCATTTAAATTACGCTAAAAATGCGTATATGGAAAACCGGCGTGGGGTGGAAGCTATCTCTCCTTGATAGGATTAAAAAGATGTCAAAAATATTTCTGTATGTCAAAAATTATGTTTTTGTATTTGCCTTCCTTTTGATTTATTTATAGTGCTTATCATATAAAACAAACTAAAAAATCGTTTAAGCGTCACAGCACCAAATTTTTAATCTGTAAAACTGTAAAAAAACGGGATTTTTAGCAAAATATGTACTCTGTTTTCATATGAAAATGTATGTATGTATGAATGCCATATATCGTAAGGAAATTTAATTATCTTATAACGTTGTGAAATTTTGGGGCTTATGAATAAAATCTAAGCAATTGCTTTTTCTAAAAATTTCAGACCTTTTACTTAAATTTCTTTGAATAAATTGAGTTAAGGGTCTGAAATTTTAAGAAAAAGCAATTGCTTAGTTTTTATTCATAAGACCCAATATTTAAATCCATAATAATAGTTTGACGTTAAGAGAGAAGGACCTGCAGACTCAAAACAGAAATACACTAGGAGGTTTGCCATTGCCTGCCGAGTAGCGACCGCTGTTAGAAATACACTTTTTTTGTTCTAGATGTAGCTCGGATCAGAGATCGAACCCAGGTCCTAAAGGAGTGGTAGTACGCAGCGCTAACCACTCAGCCTCAGCTGCCGTCTTCTATACCAATTTTTGAAATCTAAAAACTCCTCGAAAAGTTGCATGATTTTTTTTTTTTAACGTACATATGTCGGCAAACTTCACGATGTAGAGAATGGAATTCTTGGACAGACTTTATGATTCACAACTTTCAAGATAGTTGACTCGTAAGTTGTAAATTGGTATTGTGGGACACAACTCAACTCTACTTTGAAAACGTAGTTGTCTGTTAGTTGTCTGGCACTAGCATCCTCGGGCTCATCGGTAAAACATAATTCGTAACTGAGTTCCTTTTTTTGCTTTTAATTATTTTAATATCATTAAAATAGCATGATATTATGAAAATAATAAAATGTCTAGCGAATTTCCGACTTTTTCAATGGCTACAGTCAACTGAAAACAGTTGTGAACGGCAATAGCAATAAATAGTTGAGAGGTCTCAGATACAACTCAACTAAGTTAGAGGTAGAGTAGAGGGGCCTGGTATGCTACACCCCAAGCAACTTTAAATAAAAACCTGTATACCGCCTTTATCAAATTATCAAAACGCGAGTGCTTTTCATTTAATATCAAACGCAGAGGAAAGCCAACGCGTTGTTAGGTTGTAACCAAGGTGTATTAAACAAGGTGGTGTTGGGGCGACAGCTGAGTTTTTCGCCGTGGAGGCCATTACGTCAAAATGATGTGTTTGTTGTAACTCATACCAATGACAGTATGGACATCAGCGTATAATTTGTTAGTGTAATTTTTTACTTATATACGGCCAACACCACCTTGTTAAATACGCCTTGGTTGTAACAATGTTAGTTTTGAGTTCGATTGCTGCCCATTTACACATATTTCTCATCTCTAGTGCCGTACGAGCGTGAATATATGACGTGTTGTCAAATGCTCCCTCTATACAAACATAGAGCCCTATTTCACCTCATTCAAAAGCAACTTTGATTTCTATTTATCTACTGACTATTGAGCCTCGATACTAGTCTGGAGCAGTAGTTTCCCTCAGAAATTTCAGACACCGAAAAATGCAGTATGACTTCCCAACAGACCATTTTGTTAGGTGCTCCTAATGTTATTCATGTCAGCATATATGCTTTTGTTAGTTTGAATAGACATGGAAGTTTTTATGCTTCACAGATGAAAAGTGAGGGGAAAGTATTAAAAACTTGCACGGTCTACTGGGTTCGCTCTGAAACACACGCATAGAAAAATATCTTTCTAACGCAACTCTATATCGTATATTTACGTAAATAAATAACCGGTCTGAAAGGACTAGGGTATTTTTGCGTGTTAGTCTGCTTAGAGCGTCTGAAAAGTCAAGGATGGCGCATTCAGACATACATATGTATGTATGTATGTATTAAGATTAGGGTGGCCCAAAAAGTAAAGTCGGAAATTTATTGGTCTCTCCCTCTGGGATTGTTCTATGCCGAAAAAATATACCCCTATTTTTTATTTTAAAAACAAAAGATTGTCGTAAGCGCAATTTTGACGATTTTTAGTTCTAGATGCAGTTATATGTTTTGAAATAAGGTCTTTCGATTGGTGTTATCAGCTTTTAGATATCTCCTTTAGTTTCCGAGACGTTGACTACAATTTTTTTAATAATTTATTAAAAATTTAGTAGTGGCACAGTCATATTAAACTAATCGATATCTTAAAAATGGCGTTCTCCATTTTTGGATATCTCGTTTAATTGAGTAAAAAGTGTCGTTAATTTAGTGGACAATGTGTGGACAAATGACGCTTACTACAAAATTTTACTAAAGAAAATACTTCATAAACTCAAAACTAATAAAAATAAACGTTAAAAATTAAATAATTTAAGAATTTTGTGAACTATTAACATTTTCAGAGACTTTGGAGAAAATCTATCTTCGCGTTTTTGAGAAATTGCATTCCAAACATCAATCGCGATTTCCCACAACCTGCCGAAATTAACTTACGACAATGTTTTACCCAGGCGACGATTTGCACCCGTTGCATTTTCAGAATTTTTGCCCGCCGTTGCTATGAAAAAAATGGTTAACAAAACAATTAGGTATTATTATACTAATAATTATCTATTGGTAGTGTTCTGAAGAGAAACAGAGTTTTTCGATTGAAAAATATTGATTTTCAAGAATTATATACCATTTCTACGAAGACAACTTTTAGCGCTTTGGTCGACCTCTAAAATATTTTTTGATTTCAAAATAACAAAATTGTGGTATATTTTTTCGGTATAGTACAATCCTAGAGGCTGAGAGCTTTAAAATTACGACCTTACTTTTCCACATGCATTTTTGGACCGCCCTAATGTACATACATATTGCTCACTAACTAAAATGCTGTCATAACTCAAAAAACCTATTTTTTTCAAAAGATGCAGAACTACTTGTTATATCATGTTTTATATTGCGTAGAAGTATTGTATTAAGATCTTTTTTAGTAAGAACAAAATAATCATTTCTTTTTTTCTGTACATTGTGAGCCATTTGAAAGCTTTAAGCGCGTCTCCTTAAAACTACTGGTATTTTTTTGAGTTATGACAGTCTTGTAGTATCTAAATGAGCGATATGTACTTACTTATCTAATTTTATTTAGTTTTGCACCCACCTGCTACCATAAACGATGCAAATGTAAATTTCTTGACAAAACCGAACGCACGTCCTTTGTAAACCTCAACGCATCCAACATTGGAAGTAGTGATAGCAACGCAACATCCATTGGGTCAGAGAACCAACTCTTGATTGGTATCGCGTTGTTGGGAAAACAACGGTATGCACCAGGGGAGTTGTCAATTATGAAAATCTAAGTAAACAAAAATAACTGATAAGTAAATAAATATACATACATATATGTACACATGTATGTACATATATGCCAGAAAGTTTTCTATTATTTACTCTATTCAAATCACTGCAGATAGCAGATAAATCTTTGGTGTAAGAGCTAAAATCAGGCGTACAATGCTGACGGTAATAGCGGCGACGCAAAATGTTGCGTCCGTTGTCCAGTTTATCAGCAACCGCTGCTCCATATATTTCCATACTGGCTGTAAATATAACTAAGTCATACCATTGTGAAACCTAGAGAGAACAATATAAAGATGAAATGAAAATATTCAAATATGATTCAGGTTATTTAAAATAGTATTTACCACATCCAAAAAATAATCCACATGGGGGCGTTTATGAACGAAGAAACGTACCGGATGGTGATCAATTATTACTTTGACCGTGAAGTCATGTGGTGTGCCCGGCTTGACGGTATTTCTCGACATAGCGCTATGATGTGAGTGAATAAGTGTTTCATCTAAATCCAGTACAAGTGTTTTGCGTTGTACAATTCCAAGCCGATGCCTTGACACCGGCGACAGTGGAAATAGTTCATATTTGACTGGCTGATATTGTACAATCTAAGGAAAATGAATTTAACCGTATTACATTTTAGTTGATGAACACATATAACAGTACAGTTGGCTTCCGACATGGGGAATGTGAAAATGTGAAAACTACAAATGAAATTAATATGAAACCCCTTTGAATCTTATAGAATCAAATGTTTGGAAAATACTATGCAGCACTTCGATAGTTCATTATCCATAACAGAGATTGACATGGAAAGCCAATTTTAGACCAAACCCATACTTATGTATGTGGAAAGTTACACCTGGCGCTCATTCGACAAAATTGTTGACTAATCCCCGGGGGGAACTAGTTTATCATCTCATTGCGAGTTGGTTATTTTTTGGAAAAAAATTGAATGTTAAAATCTCTTTATTTAAAATAGTAGGTCATATAAAATCCCTTACAAATATACAAAAATTAACACCTATTAAAATGCACTGGCCTAGTGATGCGCTTCTCAACACCCCTAAAAGGAATCGTTGCGATTACATGTTCTGTTTGAGACAAGTGAATGAGCCGGCTTTACAATACCTATGTAGTTATATTTTTGAACCTCCCATGTATCTATATATGTAGTTATAATGAATTAAATTTAAAAATAATTATACATATACCTAATTACGAACTTTGTGTAAAACTAATAGCCTGTAAAAATATGTATTGATGTATTTCTGAAGACTTAGTAACTACCTAAATTAATATTTTTTCAAGTTAATTTAAAATCCTTAAAAAATTAACTTACCGAGCGAACTTGTCTGTTGAACATAAAACAGATGCATGT